GAACAAATATATCAGACTGTCTTCCTTCACTCTTTTTTCTAGTTTCTACATTTCTGCAGTGTAGTTTTATGAGTTTTAAGAACAGAAGACTTCGTAAAAACACACTTTGCTTCCTGGAGCAATGCCTGGCAGAGTAACAGGCCTGAGGTGTTGGCTGTCACTGCCTGAGTCCCTGCACAGTGGGAGCTGCACTGCCCACAGTGAAGAGCTGCCCTTGAAAATTCTGGCAAAGCCCCAGACTCCCCTGAGGGCTTGTAGCTCCTCTTGTTTTGTTTTGTTTTTTTTTTTTTTTGCCCTTCTCCATTTCCCTCCTCTCCTCTGGAACAATGTAATCAAGAAAACCTAGGAATGCTGTGTTTGTGTGTGTGTCTTCTTGCCCCATCTAATCTATGCTGTTTACTCACATACTGCTGTTTCTTTCTTTTTTTTTTGTTAACTGTTTCTTAATACTCCAGTTGTTTAGCATGTTCTTCCTCTTTAACCATTCCCTAGAAATTCTCTGAACTTGAGGACCCTGCTTGTTTTCATTTTAAGCACATGGCTCCTTGGTTCATATCTTGTACATTTAGGGTGTGCCCCCTCAGCAGGGGTTCAGCTGGTCTCTGAAGCTTAGGCTCCTGGGAGAGTGATGAGGAGTAGAAAGACACAAGAGAGGTGGCAGAGTGTGAAAAGTGTCAGGTGCAGTTACAGAGAACAGTGGGGCATCTTCTGGAATTGGGCTCGTTTTCTCTAAGTAATGGATGGGAGAAGTGATCGGGGAGGAGGGTGAGGAGGAGCCTGGGGGTCTAGGCTGAGGAGCCGAGTTCAGAGCACCAAGGAAAGAAGGCCACGACTGGGACTCAGGACACTGTGTTTGTATGGTGTGTGTTTTGGGGGTGGGCAGTGGGGAGAATGATTTGTCTAGAGAAGAAAGAGAAGGTCTATGACCGCAAGGTAAGGAGCTCTGGTGGCCTAGTGGGTAAGGAGCTGTTCTACGATCCTATAAGTAATTTTGAATTACTAAATTTGAATCCACCAGCTAAACCAAGAAAGAAAGATTGGCATTCTCCTTCTGTGTGATTCACAGCCTCTAAATCTTGCTTGCTTGAAGATTAAGAGTTGGTTCTGGCTTGGTGGCAATCATGTGTGCATGTGTGTGTCTGTGTGTGTGTGTACACACACATATGTATGTATGTAAATACGTATGTATATATATGTATATATATACACACACATATGTATGTAAATACATATATATATATAATGTTGTTGTTGTTGATTGCTTTTGAGTCGAGCACGTCTCATAGCGATCCTATGAACAAAAGTCCTGAAGCCCCTCTACAACTATCAACATTTATCAAAGTTCATAGAATTTCCAGAGGCATGTTATTTAGGAAGTGATTGCCACTCCTGCTTCCAATATAATTATAAAGGAAAAAAAATAAACAATTGCCTCTACTGGAAAAACAAAGTCTACAGAAAAGTCCACCCTGAAGACAGGGGGCTGGGCAAAGGGTTCATTTATAAAGAAGGGCAGGGCAGGAACTGGTTTCCTATATGTGAAAACAACACAGCCTTCTCTCCACTGTGGAAATCTGAGTTCTGTCAAGAGTGCTTCCGTGTTATGGGTAGCATTCTTCCCAGCACTCCTAGTCCCCTTGTCTCTTTGTCCATGTGTCTCTGTGTGTCCCACAGTGGCTGCCTGCCCTCAGCTTTGGTGCCACAATGACTCCAGAAACCTGTGACTCGGGCCTGCTGGAGTGATGGTGACGTGTCCCAGGAGGTCTCCTGAGAAGTGACAAGGGCATCTCCTTTGTGCCTCACAAGCAGGAGAGGCCTCTGAGAAGGGCTGTCTTTCCCTTTGACTAGGTGGTAGATTCAGATCAGCTTGAGGCCCACATGGCCCCCGGGGATCACGTTCTGAAAACAAGCTACCCACTTCCTATGGGGAGAGCCACAGCCTGTGGGGTGGGGGCGAGGATGAGTAAGGATGAAAAGAGGGGTGCAGGACCCTCTTCCTCCTGTGAGCCCACACCTGCACACCCAGAATGTTCTATAGGGAGGGAGAGAACCAGCACACTTGCATAGGACTCCACCTAAGGCCACATGACTCCTAGAGGGGTGAGCTGAGGCAAGGAGGGCCCCAGTCTCTCACACATAAATTCAGTGCAATGCAAGACAAGGACACTTCTTTTCTATCGTGGGAGTCATTTCAATAATCTTAATTTAGGAAAAAATCTTTCATCGATATTTGTTTTCAATTTTTACTGCTACTTTTTTTTTTACTAGACCCTTTTAAAAGTAGCTGTGTCTTTTCCTCAAATTTTGTTTTTCCCCCTTGATTACAAAAGTCACACCTGATGGTGGTAGAAATTTGCACAGCACAGGGACACAAGCAGGAGTAAAATGTCTCCAAAGTGATGGCCACCAGTGGCTGGGAGAGCATCCTCCGAGCCACTGTGTTCTATGCAAATACAGACATGCACACCTGACCTTCCCCATTAGAGCTGCTCTCAGTGAGAGCCCTCTGGAGATTTGACTCATTAAGAAGAGAATAAAATTTGCAGGCAAAGATTCAGCGTTTACATTACATATATCATACATACATTTCATATATTCTATGTTATAATGCCTTAATTTTTCTGTTTCAAAATGTGCAGAAAATCTGGAATAACAAGGAATTTTAAGTCCTGATTTTATGTATTTCTATAATTTTTAAAACTGGCTTGCTAAAATACCGTTTTATTGAAGTATTTTATATATGATTAAAGAGAGCTCTGGTTGCAAAGTCATGGTGCCTTTATGACATCTCAAATTCACCAGTTCCACTGTGAAAGAAAGAAGGTGCGTCTCTTCTAAGGTGATTTACTGTCTTGGAACACCAGAACTCAGTGGAGGGTGAGCTCTGAGGCTATGAGTTGACTCCAACTTGCCAACTATGAGAAAGGGAGAGTAAAGTTTATATATACTAAGTGTTAGCTGGATGCCCTCATCCACTTGGCCAGCACCTAGACTGAAATGCATGCCAAGGGTGCCACTTCTACCCTGACGTCTACCAGCGGTGTAAAGAGGAGTAACGTTTCCTTTTAATATGTACAAGACCACACAGTGACAATTAAAGGCCAATGTATGGTTTCCTCTTTTATTGTAGTTGAACTTTAAGAGTGATCAATGGTCACATTTAGAATATGAACAGTCAATACAGATGTTGTTAAACATACTCCTGGGTGGTGGCCCTCAGCTGATGTCAGTGTTTATGGATCAAGCTCATTCCTTAGCTGTTATGAAAATTCCGTTGTAAAATGGAACAGGAGCTTTGGTGGCCTTGTGGGTAAAGAGTTATATTGCCAACCCAAAGGCAGATAGTTCAAATCCATAAGCTGCACTGTAGGAGAAAGATGGACATTCTCCTCCCATGTGATTTATAGCCACTGAAAACCCACCAACCTATGGGTTGGTTCCAGCTTGATGGTACATAACAATAGCAACATTATATAACAGGGTCACTATCTAACATTTACCTTTTTTCTATTATCCTACATTTTAAAAATTATTGGTTTGCATATAAAACATTCCTTCATTCACATTGTGTTTCATACAGTTATTCCCATACACTGTATTTTAAAATTTAATCTCCTTTTGATGAAATTCTAGGTTGCTCCCGATGTTTGACTAAGAGGATAACATTACAGGAAAAATTTAATTACATTTCCTTGCATAAGTCAGTGTAGAATTAATTTTTTGGAAACAGACACTTGCCTACCATAGGATAGCTGATTTAGGCTTATTGCTAGTTTGCCAGGATGGCTCCCCAGAAAGATGTAGCCATTAGGTCCCTTTTCAAAACAAAAGGCAAATACGTGGCGTATCCTGCCTTACCACAGTCCTCTTGCCTCAGCCCATCTGCTTGGGCTCCCTGAACTGCCCAGCCCAGCCTACCTGTGCAGTACCTGCTGTGCAGAGAGCACAAACACCCATGCTCCCAGCCTAGCCTGAGAACCTAAAGACAAGCCTATGCCCCCAGCCTAGCTACTTCCCAAACCTGCAGACAAGTGTACACCCTCATCCTAGCCCAAGAAACTGTGGCTAAGCCTGTGCCCTGGCAGGATGGCAGCGGGGAGGTGCACTTACAGATGTTTCCAGGCCGGGGCTATGAGGCCAGGTCTTACTTTAGCTGTTGACAGATGTGGGCTTTAGGGTAGGCAGGCCAGGCTCTGGGCCTTTATCTGTCATTTCTCATTTGGGACCTCCCAGAGCAAGGAGGCTGACTTAAAAAGGAACCCTGGCGCACTCTGGTCTGGCCTTTCCCACCCCTTAGATGACTCTCTCCAGGCCCATGTTGTTTTTAGGGACTGTCTTGCTGCTCCAGCTGACTAGGACTCGTAGTGACCCTAACAACAGATCTGAAACTTGTCTTATTCTGTGCAACCCTCACCATCTCTGATATGCTTGAGCCCATTGTTAAAGTAACCATGTTAATCCATCTTGTTGAAGGTCTTCTTTTCTTTCTTCTTTACCAAGATGTGTCTTTTCCCAAAGAATGGCCCCTTCTGACAACATGCCAACGTGTGTAAGACCAAGGTTCTCCAGCCTAGCTTTCCCCCCTGAAGTCCTAAAACTGAGGTTCAATCTAGAGACTGTTACCCCGTTGTTCTAAGAATTGGAGGGCAGGCAGCTTTTTCTTTGAGGAGCAGCCCCACATCCGCCCAGCCCCCCCTTGGATGCCTACCTTCCTGTTCAGGTCTGTAGTGCCTTCCTATGCCCAGCATGGAATCTCAGATGCAGGGGAGGCTGCTCCCTTACTCTGGCCATCCTTCCCTAACTCTTGTAACCCTTTTTTTTTTCAGTTTCTGTAACTGCCTGTAAATGTTACTTAGTTTACTAATGGCCTTCTTAAATTGCACCTCCCAGCCCTGACACAGCAGGACAAGTCCCGGTGGAGGGAAACTCTATTTTCATTTCATGGTGTTTCTGACAGCCTTAGGCTTCTAACTCAAGGTTTATTATTATTTTCTTAATCATTAGTCCCCATGTAGCTAAAACCCACAAAGAGAAGGGCTTAGCGGAGTCTCATCCAACTGACTCTTAAAAGTGCAAAGGTTTTTATCTCCATGCCCTTTTTTCCCCTCAGCAGTCAAGAACTGATAGATAATGAAACATGAATGGACCTGTGGCCTGAGAGGCCTGATGCTGCTCACTTCCCCTTTGGACAAGAAATCCTTGGGGCTGGGCATTCTCCCGGGTCTTCTCTCCGTAGAAGTGGACAGGAACTGGAAAGGGACGGGGCAGGGAGGGACTTGTGGTGCCTATTTTTCTGTTCAGGCCAGTCATCACGGGCTGTCCTGCAGCTCTAAGTAGTCTTTACCTCTTCAGGTATTCTCTTCACTTCACAACATGGATGCACAGTATTGTGCAGGAAAAAGAGGTCTGGGACAAAAAGCAGAGCTACACCACTGCTGCCCTTATTGTTCCCTTCGAGCTGAGCGTAAGCATCGCTGCTGCAGACAGACATTGGTACTTTACCCCACAGGACACATTTGCATCGTTTACCCAGGTTTTTATTTTCTAATCTAAAATATTTTATTTAAAAGAACAGAAAATGAGAGAGGAAAAGAAACATACAGGCCACGGGAGAACAGAAAATGGGAGCTGAGAAAGCCCTGCAAAGGGAGATGATGTGACATCCCACTGAGATGCTAGGACAGTCCCTGGTGAGAAGCCTCCTCATCACTGGGGGAGAAGACCATCTGTGAGAAGTTACTCGTCCTGGGAAGCCCAGGGAGGCCACTCCAGCTCCAACCCGAGAGACGAGGCAACCACTGTCACTGCCTCCCAGGCAGAGCAACCTGCCAAGGCAGGGGCTACACAGTCAACGCCACAGTCCCAGCACAGCTGGAGGCAAGTTCAGGATCAGAAGTTGATCAGCAAATCTTCCAGTTCTTGCTGAGAGCTCCGGGAGGTGCCCTGGGTTCTGGGGCTTTTTCTCGAAGAATGGAATGGGTTAACAAGCTGCTCCCAGGCAAACAGCCACAGAGAGAGCCTGTTTTGAAAGCAAGGGCTATGCAGGTCAGTGAGTCTCCACTGTGAAGGTGTCCCTGCCCTTTGGTTTCTCTCAGATCTTGCTCATCTCTGACCAAGGCAGGACACGTAACATGTGTTCTCCGTTCATTTGTAAAACCTGAAAAACAGCAAGTTGTGAAAATGCTTACTTTCAGGAGAACCACTTGAATTTCCTGAAGCAGAGACAGATGGCAAAAAATGATGCAGGTTCTACCCCAATTGGCTTTCCCTAAGAATTGTGTCAGTGTTTTTTAAAAAAGAAACCCAGATGAGCTGCAACCACAGTTGGGTCTCTTCTGACCCATGACCACACAACAGCAGAACTGTGCGCTGTGGAGTTCTAGCAGCTGGTTCCTCTGAAGCTGATCACCTCACCCCCAGGGGCTGCTGAATTGTCTGGAAACCAACAAATTTGTGGTTCGCAGCTGCACATCACCCAGAGACTTCATACATTTTAAAGTGCTTTTCTCTCTGTTGACCTAGTGGTAAGAACCTGCACTGTCACTCCAAAGGCAAGTGTTTCGAATCCACCAGTGCTCCTCATGCGATTTACTTCTTCTGAAAACCCGTTAGAGGGTCAGCTGAGTCTATTATGACTAAATAACATACAACAACAATTTTGTCATTAAAAAAGGAACCTATATAATAACTATAGCACATTCACACAGTGTAATACACGGCATTGAAAAACAATGAACTCAAGAAACATCATTCAACATGGGTGAGCATAGAGGACATTATGCTGAGTGAAATGTCTCGGTCACAAAAGGACAAATAGCATATAGCATCACTGTTATACAATAGGACAGACATGGGAGGATTGAGGAGAAAATAGTAAAAGAACCTACAGGCTAATGAACATCGCATTAACAGATGAGGGGAAGAAAAGTCTGAGAGGAATATATGATGAGGCATTATATGTATGACAACAATCTAGAACAAGGGCTGCATTGTGGGGTGAGCTGAGGAGGGATTAGGAAAATGTACAGTAATGGAAAGAATGAAAACTTTTTTTAAGAAAAAAAGCTCAAGGAAAGCAGCTCTGAGAACTCTAGCTTTGAGTAGTGTTGCTCTCTCCGTGCCTCTGAAGCTGAGACGCACAATGAGGGGCCCAGAGGAGGAAGCCACAGAGGGGAAAGTTAGGAGTTAGTACACAGCCACCCAATCACAGCTTCAATTTGCAATTACAAGCTCTGCCACTGGGTCGTGATGGCAAAACCAGAGCGAATTTTCAAATTTTCTTTCTTTTTTATAGCTACTAATCTTATGTTCAAAAGACATCTTTCAGGAAAATGCAAATATAGATAGGAGTGAGTAGGGGCTGGAGCCTCAGGGCCCACTTGGACCACACCCACCCCCCCTCCTACCCTTGGCTGGTCCTCAGAATCCCTGGCCTTTTCAAGCATGAAGCCTGCATTCAAAACTGATTCCCAGTAGTCCAGAAAAGTGTGCTGTTCTTAGGATCTCTATGACGTGTATTCGACTCAATGGTACCTAACAACAACAACATCATACCACCAGAGCTCCCTTCTAATGTCTAGACTTAGATAAATATACCAAAAAGAAAGTAAAGTAAGAAGTTGTTTCTAAATTCAATACATAAGCTGAAAATTAAACAAAATCAACATTACGACTGAAAATGGAATATTTCTTAGACAATAACACGACTCATAGTGACCCTATGAACTTTGCCTTGCCCTGTACCATCCTCATCATCTCTCATATACTCAAGCCTCGTGTGACAGTGACTGGGTCAATACATCTTGTTGAGGGTCTTCCTTTCTTTCTAAGACCTTCTCCCTTTCCTAGCATGATGATTTTTCCAAGGACTTGTCCCTCCCAACCACCTGCTCAAAGTAAGTGAGATGAAATTTCACCATCCACATATATGCATAATACATAATATATTATAGAACAAATAATAGTATGTACATGAAAATGATACTTTCAAATACATACTCTATTTCTTAGTTGATAATCTTGTAAGGTTGAATTTTTAGAGTGCTATCAAGTAAGCTCTGACTCTTTGTAGCCTTTGTTGTGACTGTAGAGCATTGCCCAGACTATGCCAGCTTCACAGCTAGTTTGGAGTTGAACTTGCATACATCAAATGAATGAGCTACTGTTCCAACTGCATGGGATCAGGTGCAGGTCTGGTTTGTGGACATGACCTCAAAGCTGTGCTAGATGTCATCGAGTTAACCACAACCCGTAGTGACCCTATAAACCATGGATCTGCACCAACAAGTATGACAGTCTCTGTCATACTTACTGATTACCTCATAAATCCTCAAAATAGCTACCAGGTTGGCAATGCTGTCCTATTTTACAGAAGAGGCAGCGAATGCTTAGTGAGGTGAAGTGACTTGTCTACAATTACAGAGCTAGTGTGGAGCACTTGGGACTAGAGTCAGAAACCAGGGCCACCTTTTGTTGGTGCCAGAGTTCATTAGCACTGGGCCCACTTGCCCTCTTCATTCTAAAAGTCAGTATGTGTGTGTATATCCATATATGTGTGTGTAATTTTTCAAACATTTCCATATAGATGAAGTTCTTCTGAGAAGCAAGTGTAGGCAATAAAGCAGGGAGATGTGAAGCAGCCTCTGTTATGAGAAAGAGAAGTCAAGGCAATGCCATGCGAGAGGGCCTGTGGGGTATGAGCCCTGTGGCAGGTGCAGCTGGTAGCCTCAGCCTCTACTGCTTCTGCACCTGTGTGCCTGTCTCAGCAACTCAGCTTGTGAGTCTTCTGTCTCCCAGAAGTCAGGTGGGGCCAAGGAACCATCACACCAATGCCACCACCCCTGTCCACGGCTTCCAGGAAAGGTGCCCACTACTGGTAGGGTGAACCAGCCTGTCTTTAAATCTCGCTTGCCTTTCACTAAGTAGCTGGGAAACTTCCATGCTGATATGAAAATGGGATTAAACATTTGGGTTTAGAAACCTAGGTCTATGGGACGAAGACATGCCAGGTCGACAGAGGTTAGTACACTTTATATCTAGTGCCACCATCAAGACAGCTAAGAGCAAGCTCTCACACCGAAAACACTCCCAGGAGACTTTAGCCTACATGATCTCTGTGTCCAAAGCCTGTTGGATGTTTATTCACAGGCTAGGAGTCGTGGAAGGTGCTGCTTGCATCTGGCTCTGGGAGCAGTGGAGGTTAGGAGGCCACAGTATAGAGATGGTTGCCCAGCAGCAAAAGGACAGACACCCAGCACCATGTCCAGGGACACTATCTCTGCTTCTCTGAGGACCCAGGGATCTTACTTACTGTTTTACGAAACGAAGCCGTGCTCTCTTCCACTTGCCTGAAAAAGGAAAGGAGGGCACTAGTCAGGGTGGGCCACCAATGCCACAACTCCTTGGAGGAGGGTGGTGACAAGACAGTGCACAGCTCAGATGCCTCCCAGAAATGCACTTCCCTGAACCCTCAGAGCAAGACCAGGCTCTATTACATTACCTTCTTCTAATAAACAGGGAAACTGAGGCATAAAACAAGTAGGGATGTGTCCAAAGTCACAGGGCTAGTGACTAGTAGTTAGAATCCTCATCCAGCTCTTCTGTCTCTGCCCATGCACCCACCCTCCCCTAACAGAGTGTGTGCTCAGAGACAGCACAACTTCCTTCTAGGATGCGGGAAGACAGGACAAACTCATCCAGCCGATATGTTTATCTCATGCTTTAGCACTCTTTATTTTTGAGGCACATTCAATAGTTCACGTAACATATAATTGCATTGACTTGCAGACTGAAGTTATATTTATTTATAATCTTTTTAATGATTATGACTGAAAATATTTTCTGACTCCTAAGCCATAACAGGGTACACATCCCCCTTGGTTGGAGTGACTGTGAGCCTAAGTGTGTGCACAGATGTGCTTCTCTGTGGGAAGGGGGTGTACTGACATCAAATGTTCAAAGAAGCCTGTGATCCATAGAAGTGAAGGACCACGGATCGAGTTCATGTTTCTATCAGGACCTCAAAGAAAGGGACACCTTGGTGGCAGCTCAGGTGAGGACAGCACCAGGGCTGGAGTTGGGCCTTGGGTCCCTCAAACAACTGTGGGGCAGTTTTCCAGATCTCTGCCTTATGCTGAGTCCGGTACCACGTAGAGTCTGAGGACCAAGGAGGATGGGTCACTTGCTGGAATACTGACAGGGCAGCAGTCATCACTGAGCTCCCCACCTACATTAGGGGACACAACTTGGACCCTCCACCTGCTGTCTTTTCTATGTTGTGAGCTTTCAGCTCCAACACATTCCCATCCACCAAGCAAAGACCACGTGGCATGTATTCACATGCAGCAGCCCAAAGTGGCTGAGGTAACAGGGGCTCAGAGAAGCCAAACAATGGTTCAAGGTTACTAGACCAGTGAGCAGCAAGGCAGGATCAAATCCAGATTCCTTAACACCACAGACACGGTGGCTTCCTGAGCAACCACAAAGGCCATTGGTCAAGAATCAAATGGTTCTTATGGGTTTAGGGAACCCACATAAACTTCCACCAGGCTGCCATCTTCTCTGCTTCCTCAGAGAAGAAAATAGCCTTGGGGACACTTCAAACAGCAAATGGGTCACCATGGCACCCCAAGAGGACTCACAGTGCAAGTGGATGGTCAAACTCAGGGACACGAGCAGAACCAAGATGATGACCACAAGCAGGCCCAGGGTTATGGGGCTACAAGATGAGCCTGGAAAAGACGTGACACACATTCATTAATTCGTCTGAGAAAAGGAGGTGTATGTGAAGAAGAAATATGTCAGAAGCCTGCCTTCCAGAGGAGCCCATGTTTAGCATTTGCTGCATTTCCTCTGGTCTTTTAAATGTCTTTGAGACAATTCTATACATAAGATTTCATGACACATATGCAGATTTAAAGAAATGAATCAGACTCTGAGAATCAGAGAAAGAGAGGAAGACCCTCAATGTGATAGATTTTTGGCTCAGTGGCTGCAACAATGGACATGAGCAAAGCAGAGATGGGAGGACAGTGTGGGGTTTCCTGCTGGACACAGGTTACTACAAGATGGAGCAAAGCAAGCACCTGACAGCAGCAGCAGCAGCAACAAGAACAACAGCAGCAACAGCAATTGTGTTCAAAAGAGAGGAAAATTTTCCTGCTTTGTGATGGAAGTTTCATTTTAAAACAGAGCAAAACAAGAAATAGCTGGGTATCTTCTCACTGTATAAGATTCTCGAATATGATTAGCATGCACTTTGACACCCTAGCTCCTTCAAAGAAGAGGGGGCTGTTAGTTTTTGTTTCTCTTTGCCTTTCTATATGCATGTATTAATGTAGTCATATGTATAACAAGGAATGAACGTAATATGGTACAAATTGCTTTGTCCTTTGTCTATCTTAATCACATCAGCACATTCTTTTTACTGGTCGCATTGCATTCACAGTTTGGATGTCTGCAGATTACTGAGCCATTGGTGGGCATTTAGTTGAGACAAATAGCTCCGTTCAGATCATGTTGGCATGATCTTTTGTGTCTTCCTGATGCAGACAGTTTAAAGCAGAGGAACATTTAAAGCAGGTGTCTGGTGGTATTAACATAGTGACTCCCATGTGACCTCATAAGATTTTCAGTGGCTGGTTTATCAGAAGTTCATTAACAGGTTTTTATTTTGAAATGACTCCAGGTGAGCATGAACTGATAACCTTTAGGTTAGCAGTGAGCGTATTATCCATTTTCAGCCACTTAGGAACTCCAAATTGTAATATGACCAAATATATATGTATATTGCATCTTGATTACATGTTTGATCAACTTCTGACAGCAAAAGTTGGTAGAAATCTTCTATTTGCTCCTCTTTGGCTCTAGTTGTTGGTGCATATATTTGAATGATAGTGGTATTCACTGGACTTCCTTGTATGTGTATGAATATTATCCTTTCGCTCACCACATTGTATTTCAGGATGGATCTAGAAATGACTTTTTAAATTATGAAACCAACCCCATTCTTCCTCACCTTTTCATCCCCGGCATAGTAAATCATATAATCATCTGATTCAAAATGTCCCATGCCAAGCCATCTCATTTTATATGTCAATATGTATGTGTTCCATTTCTTTCTTAACAATGTCCAATTTTCCTGCATTCATGCTTCTCACGTTCCACGTTCCAATCACTAGTGTCTGCTTACAGCTGTTCCTTCTTCTCTGTATTTCAGGGAAGAAGGATCAGAAGCTGAAAAATATGGGCTCAGTGAGAGAAAAGAGGCTGGAGATAGAATGATAGCGTTCTGCACATTCAATGACTTATTCATTGCAAATACCTTTTATAAGAAACATAAACACAGGCTATACACATGGATCACACCTGATGGCATGTATAGGAATCAAATAGATTACATTTGTGGAAAGACTCAGTGGAGAAGCTCAATATCAGCAGTGAAAACCAGGTTGGGTGCCGATTGTAGGACAGACCACCAACTACTCAAATGCAAGTTCAAGCTGAAGTTGAAGAAAATTAAATCAAGCCCACGGGAACCAAAATTTGAACTTAAGGCTATCCCACTCGAATTTCAAAACCATCTCAGGAGCAGGTTTGAGGCCTTGAGCACCAATGAGTGTAGACCAAATGAGCTCTGGTAGGATATCAATCATCTATGAAGAATGCAAAGATCATTTCAAAGGCTGAAGAAGAAGAAAAGACCAAGATGAATGTCAGATGAGACTCTGAATATTGCATTAGAGCGTCGAGAAGTCAAAGCTAAAGGAAGAAACCAAGAAATCAAAGAGCTAAACAGAAAATTTCAAAAGGCAGCCCGGGACGATAAAACAAGATACTATAATGAAATGTGCAGAGAGCTGGAGTCGGAAAATCAAAAGGGCCAGACTCGCTCAGTGTTTCTTAAGCTGAAGGAGTTGAAAAACAAATGCAAGCCACGGGTGGCAATACTTAAGGGTACTTTGGGTATAATGTTGAGTGATCCAGGAAATATCAAGAGACGATGGAAGGAATACACAGAGTCACTGTATCAGAAGGAATTGGCTGACACAGAAGAATTTCATGAAATGACATATGAGCAAGAGCCTATCGTAACGAAGGAGAAGTTCAAATTGCTCTGAAGGAATTGGCAAAAAACAAGGCTCCTGGAGTTGACGGCATACCAATTGACATATTTTAACAAACAGACACTGCCCTGGATGTGCTCACTAAATTGTGCCAAGAAATCTGGAGAACAGCCAGGTGGCCCATTGACTGGAAAAGATCACTATCTGTTCCCATTCCAAAAAAAGGTGAACCAACAGAGTACAGAAATTATTGAACAATATCATTAATATCACATGCAAGCAAGATTCTGCTGAAAATTATCCAAAAACGTTTGGAACAATATGTCAACAGAGAAATGCCAGATGTGCAGGCTGGATTTAGAAGAGGTCATGGTATTAGGGATATGATACTTAATGTTAGATGGATCTTGGCAGGAAGCAAAGAATACCAGAAGAATATCTATCTGTGCTTCATTGACTATTCAAAGGCTTTTGACTGTGCAGGTCACAACAAGCTGTGGCTGACTCTGAAAATAATGGGAATCCCAGAACATTTGATTGTGCTAATGTGAAACTTATACTTGGACCAAGAGGCAGTCATCAGAACAGAGCAAGGAGACACTACATGGTTCAAAATCAAGAAGGGGGTCCATCAGGGATGTATTTTGTCTCCATACCTTTTCAATCTGTATGCACAATAGATCATCTGAGACACTGGGCTGTACAAGCAGGAATATGGCATCAGGACTGGAGGAAGAGTCATCAACAACCTGCGTTATGCAGATGAAGGATTGGAGGAAGAGTCATCAACAACCTGCGTTATGCAGATGACACAACCCTGCTTGCTGAAACTGAGGAGGACCTGAAGCACTTGCTGCA